GGATTCTCGGGAATCTCGGGAGTAAAATCGACCCTCGGGACTTGAGCAAAAAGACCAGAGCTTCGGGTTTGAACGGGCACGGAAATCGAGGCAAGATCGGGAGAGAAAGAGAGGAAATGAACAATATTTTCGGAAAAGCTCGCATGCTATTTATTGAGTTGCTGAACCGCCTCCGAACGCGGGGCGTACGGGCGTACGCAGCGCGTACCCGTACGTCATCGCTTACGCACTTCGGACGGGACGGGTTCCTGGGTTCGCGGGTCGGATGGGACGGGTCGGTAGCTTCGCATAGGCGACGTGGTCGATCCGAGACCCTCCATTCGGGTACGCGGGCGTTCGAGCGTACGCGGCGCGTACCTCGGCCCAAGGCTGACTCCTCCCTCGGATAATACCGAACTTTTAATAAAATTTATATTTAAATTATTTATCAAACTTCAAAAATTCATATCTCTTTCATACGAACTCCGTTTTCGACGTTCTTTATATCCCCGCGAAGGTGAGACTACGATCTACAACTTTCGTTTAGATTCCGTCGGCAAATTCCGAAATTATTTTTATTATTGTTTTTATTATTTAATACCAATCCATCGTTTTTAAGGAATTTCTTTAAAAACTCATAACTTCGCTATCTGAATTCGGATTTGGGCGATCTTTTTACGCACGATCATGGTTCAGAGACATTAAATCATAGAGGGAAATTAAGTAGAACTTATTTATACATTTTATTACTCATAAGTGGTTACAATACTTGACCTATTAGATCATTACAAAGAGTTGAAATATCGGGTTGTCACACTAACATCATCAAATAATATCCAATTAATAATTGGACCTCGACCCATAATCAATAATCTAAGCTACTTAACCATTAGCTAGGGTAAAATACCATTTTACCACTTTTTCTTACTTGACACAAAACCAAGGCCCAAGCCATTTGCTCAAAAGGTATAATTTCCTAAATGGCATTACAAGGCCCAACTTCCATATTAGGCCCAAAAGTCATCATGGACCTAATCCCAAGAAAGTCCATATTCTATCCGTGGCCCAAAGTCAGAAGTTTAATAGCCCAACAAGGCCCAAATCCTAAAAGCCCAAAATATGGCCCAAATCAATGAGGTCAAACCGAAGGTCACTCTGCTGAGTACACGAGGCGTGCTCAGCTCGTACGCTTAGTGTACTCCTTCTAGGACCAGTACATGCAGCATACTCCCCAGATTACTAACACAACCCATTAAGCACTTAATTGGTTAAGCTAACATGTTAAACTCTCAGATATGATTCTAAATGGTGACTTAATACGTAAAGTTGACAACTTTTCAACCATGCATGAATTAATGGGGGCCAACACTAAAAAAGGAACTTAATAAGACTCTTAACACTTGCATGGACCAATATTTTACATAAATTTTGCATTTTATGGAAAATTGACCTTAATTAAGCTAAGAGTTAACATCCACGTCTTCTGGAGTGTACCATAAACTCATCTTTAGCTCAAAAGACGCAAAAATGTATAAATAACACCCTAAGTTGGATAGAATCATCAAGATGAGACCTTTTTACTCAAATGGCTTACTAAGGTTAAGATAACTCTGGATCTACAAGCACAAGCCACTCCCAAGCAACCTCTTAGTGTTCCTCTTCTTCTTCTACACCACAAAACACCAAAAAACACAGTTTCATGCTCAAAACTCACCAAAAGCACTTAAGGTTTCATTTTTAGGGTATAGAGTGATGGAGGATGATCAATAAAATGTAAAAATGTAGTATAAGTTCCTTAAATTGGGTGCAAACCCTAAAAATTAGGGCTTTCCCTTGAAACACGTACGCCATGCATACTCCACGTATGCTGTGTGTATGTGGGTGAATCACGCATCTAGAAAAGAGCTAGTAAGCATAGCGTACTCATAGAGTACGCCTCGCATACTAGCACTAGCTAGGGACCAAAAAGATATAGATTTTACATTAAAGGGCTAAAAGGAAACATACCAAATTACAAATGTTACATCAGTAGCATGGTTATGTATGTGTAGCCTAAAATGAATAAAAGAGTAGTAAGCACTACTCAAATACACCTTACCTTTGGACCTCAAACATGCTTACCTTTTACAAATCATTACAAAACTCTCATTTTAATTCAAGCTTACAAAATTTCTCACAATTGATTCAAGTTTCTTCTGAAGGTTTCCTTAATCATATTTATAATTTAATTGTCAACTCATAAGTGTTAGGGTTTAATCATTTGAACAAACGATAAGTGATTTCACATATGGAGTAGTAGTGCATACGAAAAAAGAACATGGTATTGTACTATTTTACATGATTCACATGATCAGAGTGATCAACTACATCTATTGGAGAACACAAGAGAGAAATTTCATTGATTACTACCAAATTATAGTTTTCTTATCTTCCATACTTAGGTTACACAAACGCGAGGAATATATTTAGGAGAATAATTACCTAAAATATACCATAAGGCCAATCACATAAACTATGATGAATTTTGGTCCACGACATATGTATGGTCTACCTACCGTCTATAAGGTCAACCGATGAATCAGGCTCCACAATTTAACAATCTCCCACTTGGAGGCTGATCAACCAAAACAACTACCATCAAATCTAGGACTCTATAATATGATATATTTGTCTACTCCATGTATTCTCCTTAAGTATTTGGAAGGCTAGTTAAAGCCATATACAACTTCACATTCTTTATTGTCACCACCTTAGTAACATATATGTTGGATTCTTCATGTCGAGGATTTTCTTTAGGTTTAGGGTACCATCACTTATCAATTACTTGATAAAGTGGTACCTCATCTGGATGTGTTTCGTCTTATTGTGAAACACTAGATTCTTTGCCACATGTATTGCATTATTATTCCTAAGTTCTAATAAAAAGTTCTTCAACCATATAAGCTCTTTGGTAGCTTCTGAAATAAACATGTACTATGATTCTAAGTTTGAAAGAGAAACACTCTTTAGTAACCTAGACATCCAATTTATTGGCGTACCTTGAATTACGAACACATAACCTGTGATGATCTTGCCTAAATCCATGCACCCCCTCCCCACAGAAAAATCATGAAAACCTTCCAAGACTATTTCTTTTCTTTTAAAACATAAGGCAACCTTGGTAGTACCTTTCAAGTAGCATAAGAGCTACTTGATTGCTTGTTGAGGCTCTTTTCTCGAATTTGACATAAACTGGCGCATAACTTCCACTACATGCACAATATTTGGTTTGGTTTACACCATATCATACACCAGACTGCTAAATATTGAGGCATAAGGAACTTTATCTATCTATTCATTGTCTTCTTCCTTCTTTAGGGACTATTTATTTGAAAGTCTAAAGTGACTATACGAAGATGTACTTTTAGCATTAGCATTTACCCTACCGGATTTCTCTAGAACATCCTTTATGTACTTTTCTTAAAAATGATTTAGAGTACAAGCAATTATGTCTCTAGCTATGCTCATGCCTAAAATATGTTTAGCGGCATCTAGGTCATTCATTTCAAACTCTTTGAACAACTCCTTCTTCAACATATTGATCTCCCCCATAATCTTAATTATTCAAATAAGTGGCCCTAATCTTCTCTTTCATCGCTGGTAGCACTTCCAGATCTCAGGGCGCCAAACCCTCCTTATTAGCCCGAAGAATAGATAATTGAGTTGACATTTGTTCTCGCTTGTGTTGCTCCTTCTCTTCTCACGCTTGCCTTTCAAGGAACTCCAAGTGCCAACATTTTAACCCATTTTTTTCTTTTTGTATTTAATTGTGCTCATCGAACTTCACTTTCATTTTCATCATTTCTCTTGTTTTCATCTAAAGGTCCTCCGCATGTTTTGCAGTGCGCTTCGCTTTGTTGCATCCTTCAAGTGGTCGTGGCGAAGAGATCTCATTGATGTCATCCGGAATCTCGTCAGTTTCGATGTTGAGTTCGATGTGAGTTTGTGAGTCTGAAACGTCAATCGAACTCGAATTTCAAGACCTCTTCAATTGAACCTCCGATGATGTAGGAGTTTTAATCCATTTTGGATCTGCTTGTACCAACTCCCATGCTTTATCAAACTTGATCACATGTTCCGTCTCGACCCGAAATTGATTTTTTTGTGGATTTGAACAAATCAGAGTCGTTGGTTTTGCTCTGCTGCTGCGACTGGATTCTATTGTATATACCATTGAATTTTGTGCACTACTTACTTATTGTGATATGGTTTTTTCTTCAAGATATTGTGGAATTTAACAAGGACCACTTCCCAGTAAGCACATTTCTTCATATAATTTCTGCAACTTTCTTTTTTAAAGTCTCACATCATGCTACCACTAAAGTATATTTCTCATCCAATGTCCACCATTGTGGAATTTCATCACTTTACGTTACAATAGATATAGCTTTTCCTTTCCCTTTTCCTCTCCATTTCCTACTACTCTCCTGCTTTCTTTTTTACCGATGGTTGTGTTGGTGGTGATGTTTGGGTGGTTGTTTATGGGATCGAAGAGAAAGTTGGGAAAAAGTTTTTTTGTACATTTGGGTTTCGCCCAAAAAGATTTTGTTGAATGTAAGGTAAGGTAGGATTGGCGGTCAAGTGAGATTAAAAGAAGCTCATTGGTATGAGATTTGTAGTGAACTCTGAGAAGATAAAATGTTCAAATAATTTTCGTAACCGGAAAATCCGAGAGGAGAGGTTGTGTTTGGATTTGGTGAGGGATGTTTGGGTTTTGTTCCATTTTTTTGTTGAATAAATAATGAACTTTATAAAATGCAGAGTAAAAAAAAAAGAATAGTGTAAAAAAATTGGGTTAAATGTATTGTATTTTTTTAAATGGCAAACTAACAGATTCCTAAAACACTAGATATGTCTCCTAGTGAAATTTGAATCTATGACCTGACAGGTCACTCCTTACCACTAGATAAAATACATTTTGGTAAATGTGTTGTATTTATAGGTAAATAATAAGGTTTTATTTAATCAAATATGATCGTTTAATGATCAAAACTACGTCTCTCATACCCACAGTCACATTTGTCCTTATCCGTGGTAATGCCGACGAGATGGTCCATAACAAGCACTCGGGACGGTGTTCATTGCCTTATAACGCCGTTATAAGACCACCTAGCAGACGATTACAGCATGGAAGGTACCCATACCATACCATACCATACCGTATATGCTCTAATAAAAAGACCTATAAACTTGAATAGAGCTCTCGGTCAAATCAGGTTGTATGGGCTTTTGTTGTCAAGCCTAGATGACACAATATTGGATAGAAAGAACACTTCCCGATGCCAATATCAGAATCACCTAGAACATCATCATGGGTATTCTGAAATTGATACCCCAAACTGTTGGCTTGTGAGTATCTTCCGTGAATTATATAAACCAGAATCCCTTCATGTTTTCTTTCCATTCCAATTTTTCTCGATCTCACTATCACTGCCAATGGCATCATCTGATCTCAAATCAGCCGCGTTATTGGACCAGATGAAGACCCACTTCTCTACCGACGCCGGCAAAGCCCTCACCAAAAAAATCGGACTTGTATATCAAATTCACATCGCTCCCAAGGTTGAAATTTGTTATTATTATATACTCTACTTTCTCAAAATCCCTAATCACTTGCAATCAAATCAAGTAATTATCATCTGTTATTATGTCGGTTCGACAGAAAATGGGATTCAACGAGGAGATTTACGTCGTCGATCTGAAGAAAGGAGAGGTTACTAAAGGTATGAAGTTCTTGACATCTTTCTACTGTTTCCTCATTTCTTTCTTCTTTATTCTGTGATGTTGGATTAAACGAAGAATTGATGCCATTAGTGGGAGTTTGTTTAGCTTATTAATTTGGAATTCTGATTTAGGCCCATATGAAGGAGGAAAACCAGATGCCACCTTTTCTTTCACAGATCCGGATTTCTTCAAGATTGCTACTGGAAAAATGAATCCTCAAATTGCTTTCATGAGGTAAAAAAAAAAAAAAAAAAAAAAATCCATGGTGACACCTTACTGATTACTATATGAAAGAATAAATCTTTCTTTAATCTTGGTTCATATGTGCAGAGGTAAAATGAAGGTGAAAGGGAGTTTGAGTGCAGCCCAGAAGTTCACTCCTGACATCTTTCCTAAACCCTCAAAGATGTAAGCAGGGTGTTTTATAGATTTGGTTTAGTGGTAGAGATGAAGTTAGAAACCAATTTAATCGAATATGAGCACCATATTGTGTCTAATAAATTCGCGACAATGTTGTTAATGTGTAATGGTGTTGATTTTGTTTGATATGAATGTGATTCAATTATAGCAATGCCAATTGATCCACAATAGCAAAATAATTTGGACATGGTTTTTGAGGCTTGAAACAACAGCACCAGAACATGTAAATTGCCAATTGCAACCTGCTTTTGGAGATGAGAACACTAAAACGCGAACTGCTCTATAATAACAAGGAACTCTTATCTAATTTTGGATCATGAAACAGCAACACCAAAACAACAAATTGAGAATAACAACGAGCTTTGGATTTGAATGTGAGTTGCCATTTAATCTGGTAGCAAAAATACGAAAATAATAACCTAGAAGCAAACGCAAGAACATGAATGTGACAATAACAAACGAACTTTGATGCCAATTAATATAGAAGCCATGACACGCAGAAATATCAAAGAAGTTTGAAAATGGGAAAAACAATCTGGTCGTGGACTCTCCTGTATCAGATATCCACCATGTCAGCACCATATACCTCGTCTGGTCTGTTTTAAATTGTGTCATATTCGTCTTTCATCATTCACCAATTTTATATTTATTTTTAATATAAATAATAATTATTAGTTTTAGAATATTTAACTTACTATATATATAAGCAAAAGTAAATATAAGATTAATAATAATTAAAAGAAATCATTAATTTAACCCAAAAAAGTTAAAATTTTTATAATATTTAAAAGGGAAAATGACAGGTTAACACAACATTCCGGCAAACATTCACAAGTGTGGCGACGGCAATCTCTTGTGCCCTCTCCGTTCCATCTCTCAATATCGTTGCCAGTTTCCTAATCTCATGAAACACCTCCGTGATCACCGCTAATCTCCCCCTTCTACACCCCCACCAACATTTGTCACCATTCTCTTAACACTTGTTTGCTTGTTGCATCACTTATTGGATTCCCGTGTTCTGTAATCTAGTTGCGAATCAAATAATAAAACATTATTTTATAGTTTATGAAATAGGCTATGGTTTTACAATTTTACCGGAGGTTAGAAGTACTGATTTCTCAGCGGCCCAATCGGGGTGAATCTCTTTGAGCAGTACAACTTTTTCCAGTACACTGAAACACTCGTTAGACTGAAAAGCAAGGTTTCCTTTTGCTTCCCAAGTCGCACACGTTCTTAATACTTCTACGATTCAGGTTACAACCCCTTCGATTTCCATTATCTCTGTCTTGTTTGTGTCGAGTATGGAGAGGTTTAGGATCTTTGTAATTGCGTTTACAACATGAAGTCACCAGCCCTACAAGGGTGACATAGTCTCCGATTTTGAAAGCTCCAATTATGGTGAAGCAGATGATGACTGTATGTCGATGTAAGCTTCCAGCATCTTCTCTGGTTTTGACTTGTTAATGAATTTTGAGAAAGGAACAAATGGTAAATATGTTCAATATGTTAGAAGTACTTAAAAGGACAAGTAACTTCGAAGTTTATTCCCTTATAAAACATGCAAATAAGTTAAGGGGATGAAAAAGCAAATTCGCAATACATTGTTAGGCTAATATATCAGTTCCCTATTTAAAAAATAGATCAACCCGACTGGAAAAACATAAAATCTTAAGTAATCAAAAATAAAATACAAATATCTAGTTTTTGTAGTCGTCGATAGTTGATTTGTGTAAATATGTTCCATCAAATCTGAATGAAGGTTGTTATACATTTCTCGGTTACATATTTCCCAAACATTAGTTTGGTATTGTTGGACATCAATTTCTTCTTGTTCAAAAGATGATTGAATATTGGTTCCATCATAGGTACAAATCACGAGATATTGGTCTTCTGTGATAATATTATGTAATATGATGCATATATATATATATATATATATATATATATATATATATATATATATATATATATATATATACATTATTTTTCTTAATTCTTTGGGAAGCCATGTTCGTGGTGGGGTTTTGCTATATGTTAATGTTGCTTAAGGACATCAAATGTTCGTTCAACATCTTTCCTTATTGATTATTGTGTTACCTTTAAATTTCTTCATTTTTCATCTTGTGGACATGTGATGATTTGAAAAATGTAGAATATCAAGGATGTATCTTATGAATAAGAGAAAACTTGTACTTATATTTTACTCCAATTACTTTAAACGGACACTCAAGTGTTATCCATTTAAGATGTATTTAAATATCAACGACTAATGAGGAACATTAATGTTAATGTTGGAACCATAAATGTCAAAGAATACATGTCAAATCCATAGATCATTTGACATCACTGTTTCTGGAATTATCGTTGGATGTGAATGATGACCTTGTATGATTGATTTTGCTATGCATAAGGGAACTTTGTCAACAACCAATGCTTCCAAGAATTCCAAGAAAGTCATGTTTGGATTCATGTGCCTCATAGAATTGCAGAATGTCATTCCAAATAGAATGTGCCAATATTGTTTTTGTAATGGTTAACGACACCTTCATAAAACATATAAATACTTTTCCATGAAGTTTTCTCATACATCTTGAAACACTAATCATGAGTCGGTGATAATGTGGTATGTTATTTAACGGGTGATGATATGCACTTCCGTAATAGTGTAAAATCATTCCATATATTACACCCAATGCTCATCAAAAAGCCGATAACACGTTGTAACGTCCCAAAAACCATAGTAAAATTTTTTATTTTAAAAAGGGAATAAACCATTTTCCATAAAAAAAAAATATAATCAAAATATTGATGCACAACCATATCATATAATCAGAGTATCAAAACATGGAATCTCTCGAAAACATATTAATCACTAGTCAAGTATTCACCTTCCCCCGATCCTCTAAATTACCTGAAACATTTAAATCCACAACTGTAAGCCAAAACTTTGTGAGTTTCCCCAAAATACCCCACACAAAAATAAAGATGTTCGAGGATTATTTAGACGCTTGAGGATATGTTGAGGGATTGTGTAATAGACTTTGGTAGGATTTGGGACTGCTACCTTCCCTTACCCGAGTTTTTGTACAATAACAACTATCATTCTAGCATTGGTGCACCGTAGTACGAGCTTTTATATGTGAGGAAGTTTCGTACTCCAGTTTTTTGGGGAGGTCGGTCACAGGGTCATGGGGAGGACTAAGGTGGCGCTCCAGACGATAGAGGTTATTCAACATATAAGACAGAGGTTACAGACAACACATAGCCAGTATAAGTGTTATGCTGATAGAAGATAGTCCGAGTTGGAGTTTCAGGTTGGGGATATGGTACTAATGAAGGTATTACCTTGGAAGGATGTTATACGCTTCATGAATCGGGACAAGTTGGACCCTTAATTCATTGAGCCTTTTCGAGTGGTAACCAGGGTGGGAAAGGTGGATTTTCCCAGAGGATTTGGATATGTGATCATGTCATCTGTCTTCTAGACTTTGAGGTAAGTTTCTCACTATACTCGTGGGTCGAAGGCACCAATATTAGCCCACTAGATTATGTTATGTATCCTTTGGGTATAGGATTTTGCTATACTATAGTGGTAGGTTAGATTGGTAGATCTTTAAGATTACCTATCTGTTTCCATATGTCGACATAATGTGGCTGGGTTGAGGTGGTACTACTTTGTGCTATAAGCCAACAAACTTAGGAGCAATCTATTCATAAGTTGAGGGTTGAAGCGGGAAATCTAGCCTTATGTTGTAGGCACGAGGGTGATCTAGTCATGATTTGTGGGTTGGGAGGGACAATCCAATCTGATGTTGTGGGCTCAGGGTAACCAAGTGTCATGTTGTAGGCCCAATATGAATGCATTGTATATATAAATAGTGTGTGGGGTATTTTGGGAAAAATCACTATGTTTTGGCTTACAGTTCTTTATTTCATTGTTTTCAGGTATTTCTGATGATCGGGGTAAGGCAAAGACGTGATCGTACACATCCTCTTAGGCTTTTGTGTTGTGAGAGATTTACTTGATACTCTGATTTTTTTGGACGTGATTTGAAAACAATGGTTGTTATCTATGATTTTTTAAGGAAATGCTTTTATAAAAATGAAAAATTTTATCATGGTTTTTTGATATGTTACACTATAGCATTTAGCTGGACCGTTCTCCTAAGCCTATAATATGGGCCTAGACCGCTTTCCTGAGCCTATAACATTGGGTTGGACTGCTCTCTTGAGCCTACATCACGGGGATGGGCTACTCTACGTGGGCCTATAATATCAAGTGGAGCACCCCGGGTATCTTGGCCTACATTAAAAAGTAGGACCGACTCAACCCAACCACAACACATAAACACTAGCAAACATACAAACAATAACTAGCAAACACAGGTAATCATTACAGATCTACCAAACAATGGCGGATGAGCGACAGCAAAGGCTGAGATTACTTTTCGTGGCAATGGGATTGTGGGTTTTCTTGAAGAAGAAAATGACCAGGTGTATGAGAGAGAGATAATGTGTGTGTGTGTGAGAGAGAGAGAGAGGGGGGAGGGGTGTCTGTCCAAATTAATTATTTATTTTCTTTTTCATTTAAATTAAATAGAAAAAACATTAAAAAAATATATCAGGACATTACAGTCATTTCAATTTTACAAGGGACCAAATTTACGTACAAACATGACCAAAATGACTATCAATCCAAGAAAGTCGTGATTCTGACTAAAATCCCCCCAAAAATGCATATCATATGGACCATTTTTGCAATTTCCTTAAAAATTTAAAATTTTGGTATAATATTTGAAAATTAAAAAAATTGAGTTTTTTTTTTTTTTTAATATTTTCCGTTTATAGCCGCCAATGACTGCCAAGCCCGAGTTTAACCGATTTCCGCCAAACACCGTAATCCTAATCGATTCAAGTCCGTCAAACGATTAATAACCCGTCAAGACCGATTTTTGCAACACTGATCATAACATATATTTAAATAAATTTCTTTATTATGTGTATGTATTTAAATAAACAATTTTATATAAGGGTGTTTAGGATTGTTTTTTGAACTCTAAAACTGATATTTATATAAAAATGTTTATTGGTTTATAATGGTGGTAAAGTAATTTTTTAAGAAGTGTTTGGATTTGTTTTAATGGTGAAAAAAATCAATAAATTGATAACTTAAAAAAAATGTTTGATTGAAAAACTAATTTCTAAAATTATTGCTGTTAAAAAACCAAAAACAATTTCAAAAAAATCATATTTTACATGTTTTTTTAAAGCTAATAGAAATACTATTTAAAAAAAATATATTTTTGAGTTTCTGGTTATTAATTTTTCAAAAAATAAAAAAATCAATAAAAATAAATCCCGCACACCCCCGATCCCATAGTCCATTTCAAGAGTCTTGTATGCAATCTAAAGTCATCGAGTGAAAATTCTCAATCATTCCAAACGTTTAATCCACGACAGAAAGTCTTTTTAAAATTCCTATCCTTTCGGATTAATCACCAAATCCAATCATTACACATTCAAACATGAGTCTCGACAGAGTCGCCGCTTTCACTCAACGTCTGTTCTTAGTCACGTGCTTTCTGGCTCCCTCCCTTGCAGCAGCTCCTACTTTGCTCTTTCAGGTTCAAATCAACTCCTCATAACATCAAACATCTTACTTCTAATAAGTTTTAAGCTCTTACATAACTTTACAGGGGTTCAATTGGGATTCATGCAACAAAGATTGTGGATTATATAATTCCCTCCTTGCCTCCATTGATGACCTCGCCGCTGCCGGAATTACCCATGTTTGGCTCCCACCTCCATCCCAATCCGCTGCACCACAAGGTCGGGCTATCTTCCTTCCATTTACTTCTGTCTGAATTCTGATCATTTAAGTATAAAGTAATTAATCATGGTTTTGAATTTATTACTGTTGCAGGTTATTTGCCAGGACGTTTATACGATCTGAATGCATCAAAATACGGGAATGAAGAACAACTGAAATCTTTGATCAAAGCTTTAAACAACAAGGGAATCAAATCCGTTGCAGACATAGTTATAAATCACAGAACAGGGGAGAAGCAAGATGGAAGCGGGAAATACTGTATCTTCGAGGGTGGAACTCCAGATGAACGCCTTGATTGGGGATCTTCCATGATTTGCAAAGACGACGACTATTGCGTTGGCAATGGAAATCTCGACACAGGAGGTCCCTTTACAGGTGCCCCAGACATCGATCACATAAACCCTACAGTCCAAAAGGAGTTATCTGATTGGATGAACTGGCTCATGACTGAAATAGGGTTTGATGGGTGGCGATTTGATTACGTAAAAGGGTATTCCTCGAGTTTCACCAAGATCTACATGAGCAACACGTCTCCAGATTTTGCAGTTGGAGAGCTATGGAGCTCGTTAGCTTATGGGCAAGATGGAAAACCAGATTACAATCAAGATAACCATAGAAATGAACTTATGAAGTGGGTGGAAGAAGGTGGTGGTGGCGCTTTAACAGCTTTTGATTTTACTACAAAGGGTATACTTCAAGCAGCTGTGCAAGGTGAGTTATGGAGACTGATCGATCCAAATGGTAAACCTCCTGGGTTTATCGGAATTATGCCTGCGAATGCTGTGACATTCATCGATAACCATGATACATACTCGCAAAATCTTTGGCCATTTCCTTCTGATAAAGTTATGTTAGGATACGCCTACATTCTCACTCATCCAGGAATCCCATCGATTGTAAGTTTGCGTTTTTTTGTGCCATTAATTATTATCGATCAATGGTTTAACAAATTATTGACTTCTGTTTTGCGTTTGATTTGTAGTTCTACGACCATTTTTTCAGTTGGGGGTTGAAGGAAGCGATCATAAATGTATCAGCGATTAGGGCAAGGAACGGGATAGGTGCAACGAGCCAAGTGAAGATATTGAAATACGAAGATGATCTGTATGTTGCTGAGATTGATGAAAAAATCATGGTGAAGATTGGATCAAAAGATGATCTTGGAAATCTTATTCCAGACAACTTTGAGGTTGCTACTTCTGGGTTGAACTACGCTCTATGGGAGAAAAAACCATAAAGTTTGAATGTAGCAATTGTTGTATGTTGTAATAACATAATACTTGATAAATTGTTGTAATAATATAAAATATATTTAATCAAATTGATAACTAAAACGCGGCAAACCCATATAATTTCTATGTAGATAATATTGTTACAAATACAGAAGTTATGAGTAAAAATTGCTTTGTAACCCCCATTATGTATTATTACTATTATTATTATTAGTATTATTATTATTATTCTTGTTTGAATGTCCTTTCTTTTTGCTGAAGAACATTAAAAATCTAGGAAAGAACGATTTCTTCTTTTTCTTCCGAGCCTTCCCTTCACGAGATGATCCAGTCACATTGTTGTTGCTTTCAGAACTCTTGCCTTCTTTACCACGAACCAATCCTTTCTGTCTTCCATTTTCTTTAGCTTTTCTTCTTTGTTCACTTTCAGATCTCCATGTTCTAAGCTCCTGTTCTACAGCCAGTTTCCCTTCCTTAGCCTTCTCAGCTTTCTCCTTTGCAATCGAGAGTTGTTTCCTCTTTAAAACTATATCTGAGTTTACTTTCTCAAGGTTATTCACTGTTTTCACTTCCGATTCCTTTGCTAAATCAATCTTTGACATAGCTTCTGAAACCCTCGAATTAGCTTCGGTCTCAGCTTCTTGAGCTTTTCGAGTTAGTTCATAGTAATCCTCTAAAGAAATTGTAACTCCAGATTCTCCTTCACTCTTTCGAGCTGATTCGGTTTCATTAAGTGCAGTAATTGCTCCAACAGCTAATCTTTCTGAAGCTCGAGCTGCTTCAATCTCCTTTTGAGCAGCAATCAATCTGCTTCTCATTGTTTCTGCTCCAGCTTTCGCTTGATCCGCCATTTCTTTCGCTTTCTGTAGTTCTTCATGTGCTGACCTGGCTAGCGATTTAGCATGATCTGCCTCTTCGGCTGCTTTCTGAAGTTGTTTCGGGAGTTCGATTGCTTTTTCTCTTGCTAATTTTTCCTTCTTTTGAATTAGGGAAATCTCTGAAATTGTTCTATTTAGGTCACATTCAAGAGATGCTACTGTTACTGATGCCATTCCTTGTCTTCGTTTTATCGCGATGAGTGTTGATTTCTCTTTCTCGAGTTCCGATTTCAATGAATTTGCAGCTTGTTTCAATGATTTGACCTCATTCGTTGCTAATTCGATGCTTTTGTTCACTTCCTCAAGGTTAATCTTTTCCACATCGATAGCGTCTTGCATCTGTTTACGTGTATTGCTATTGTTATTTAACGATTCGTTATTTTCCATTTCTTTCTCATGATTTTCGCCCATGTAAGCAGCTAATTCGGATTTCAAGTCGTGAAGTAATACTGAAGCAGTTTCGAGTTTGGACTTAAGATCTTCAACTGAAACGATTTGTCGATCGACTTTTTCCAATTCCGATTCCGATTCTTTCAATTCCTTCTCCCAATTCAAAGTATCTTCTTCACGTGCCATTCCGATTCCGGTTCTGTATTCCTCCGCCTCCATACGAGCGGCATGTGCGGATTCCAACGCCTCTTTTGTTGTCATGAGTTTGATAGTCAACCCTTCAACTTGTTTCTCAATTTCTTTCGAATTAGAAACAGCCTCTTTAGCATCCTTTATAGCTACATCTCTTTCAGATATCAATAATTCATAATCTTTTTGGAGATCTTCAAGCTCCTTTTTAACAGTTTTCACCTCAGAAACAGCAGCTTCATGTCTCGCATGTGCAACTTCTCTTTGTATCTTCGCAGCAACACTAGAATCATCAGCAATCCCTTGCTCCATTTCTTCCACTCTTAGTTTCGCAAGTTCTGCATCTTGTTTTGCTTGACGCTCTTCTGTTTGTGCTCTTTCAAGATTAAGTTTTAGTTCTTCTACGAGCCTTTTAGTGTCATCGAGCTCCTTTAGCACATGTAGCTTCGATTCTTCGGCTTTCTCTGACTTTTTCTTAAACAATGGGATCTCTTCACGCGCCTTTTTGAGCTCTTGTATTATATACTTCCGCTTCTGCAAATTAGGTTTTAATGTTTTATATATCCATAGATTTTTTAGTGTTGATATAAACAAAATGGATGATATTATACCTCAGCGGTTTGGAGTTTATGGGCTTTCCAATCGATGATTCCACCAAACATGGAAACAGCTGCTTTAACAGATTCGAAAGGTGCAGTGGTATCGATAATAGCATTACTATAAGTTTTCTGAAGCTTTTTCCCAGAATCAGCCTTCTCCAATTGTGCAATGGTATCAACATTACTATAAGATTTCCGAAGCGGTTTCTCAGAACCAGTCTTCTCCAATGGAGAAATGCCATTAAATGCCCTTTGATCATGATTGCAAATCTCACCATTTGTTTTTCCGGAAGGTGATTCCGGATTTCTTGTTGGATTATTTGCTTCTGGTTCTGATGTTTCTAATGGAAGAGATGATGGAATTTCTTCTTGAACGTGATCATCTGGTTGTATTAGGGTTTCTTGGGAAGATGTTAACCGATCATCTAATGGTTTTGGATCAGTTGAGGCGTCTTCTTCAATTTCGGATCCTTTTGATGTATCTTGTTCAGAGCTTGAATTACCGAAATTTTTCTCTGCGTTCGATCCATTCTCAGTGTCTTCCTTCCCTACTTCTGTTTCAGATTCTAATTCTCCATTTGTGGTTAAATTTTCTTCCAGAGCTTTCACTTCATCCATTCTAGAATTGTCAAACAATCACCGTTTGTTGGATATTGAGATTCAATTCATAACACAAATCTTCATTCGTGGAGGCAAATCACGAAAAACAAATCAATTTGCAAAAAATTTCATCCAATGATCAACTGTTCTTGGTCGTCATCCCCCTCACATCATCGAATATTCATTGCATCCTTTCGCCAATGAATTCAAAGGATCATACGAAATAATCAAATAATTACAACGCCCTAACAAAACCCACAAATCAACATTCGATCAAATTAAACTCGGAGTTAGAACGAGATAAGAGAGATTAAACGCATACCAGGAAATCCCAGAATCAAATCCAGAGGTTTGATGAAAATATCTCCTGATATCGAGAATAATAACTTGATTAACTCCAACAAACCAGCGATTAAAGCTTCGGAAATCACTATGTAAAACAAATCCAAATGAAAATGATAATCAATTGATGAGGAAAGCAAAGGAATTAGTAAAATGGATGGAAATAATGAGCGCAAACAGAAATAATACCAATTTCACCACAACATGATCTGAAAGGCGCGCTGTTTTTCGAAAAAAAAATCCGTGTATGTGTCTATTTTTAGGTTTAAATATATTTTGATTGCTATATTTAGTTGAAAATGTATTTTTATTGTCATGTAAATAGAGATATTGTGTAATTTAATATATATTGTGAAGCATTAGTTATCTTTACTTTTTAATAAATTAGCACCTACATACATAACTTTAAAAGAATTAAGAGGGAACCAAGAAGAATTAATGTTTTACTTTGTGGAAAAAAAAGAGCTTGTCTCCTTGTGCATTGTCTTCGTCAAAGAGGTTTCGAGAAAACGTTAATAGAAGGAAAATGCTGAAATGTAACCGAATGGGATCTCAAATCACAGATATAAAGCATCAAAGTAAGTCCTTGTTTGTTGCATATATAATTTTGTGTATTTTTTAATTTGGATTCGGTATTTTAATATGTAACTAAAATGACATTAATTTTTTTTTTTTTTCTGAAGATAAAAATATTAAAATAACCCATTCTTTTGACAAAAATAACTTCAAATTTTCTACTTTCCTGAAAATGGCCACATATTTCATAATAGGGTCATTGCATAATTATGGACTTCATTACGTAAAAATCATTATCATAAATCTTAGTTGCGATTTAGATTGGGTTTGACAAGTCAAAGTTAAAGTCAAAGCTAACTGATAGCTTAATTTATTTTGTAAACTCATTTAAGTTGTCTTGTTAATAACAATTAGCAACCCTAAAAGTAGTTTATAAGTTAGGTCCCGTTTGATACGCATCTTTCGAGGTTCAAACAGATCTTTCTGACTGAATGGACCGGAAAGACTGTTTGATTTGCACAAAAAAAAAAATCTTTCCCGGTAATATATGTCTTTTCCAGAAAGCCCCAAAATCATATCTTTCTGGCTGAATGTGCTGGAAAGACAATTATGCATCAAACCTCACCTTTTTCTTTTTTCCTTGGATTATTAATTTTTTAAAATTTAATTTTTTTTTTTTTATCATTCAGTACAGTCAATCAGATGCATAATCAAACAACATAGTTTCTTTTCCAGTCAGAAAATTTTCCTAAACAACACTTTACCGGACAGTACTTTTCCAGACAGAAACTATCAAACAGGACCTTAGTTTTGTAAGCTAGTTAGACTAGTTTTTATGAGTTTTTTTATTTTTTTTTTCAAATATACATTTAATTAATTATAGAAAACATATTCTTCTAAATGTTTTTTTTTTTTTTTTTTTTTTTTTTTTTTTTTTTTTTTTTTTTGTAATTTTATATCTTTCAACTAGCTTATCAGTTAGTTTTTACTAAACATCACTTCTATCAGCTATGTTTTACCAAACAATATTTTTATAAGCTAGTTTTTTAATTAATAAGTCAAACATAACCTTAATACGAGTAGGTTTTATTTATGAAATAACTTTTTTGTTTTAATTTGTTTCACCTATTACAAAATTATCCATATCACTTCGAAATTGGAAACTCTTTTTATAGAATGGGTGTTCTGAAATTTTAATCTCCACAATTATATTCAAGCATTTAAACAAATATTTTATTCCAAAATGAGTTCATCCAAGGAGTTATTCGTAGTTCTTTGTATTGGATGGTCGTAATAGATAATCGTTGGCGTTAATTAGTTCATCAAGACAAATGTGATACATTATAATGTAGATTTACCCTCAAATCTAAACCTTTATGGTTCTTTTGATTTTGTGGCAAGAAAGCTATGTATCGAATATACCATCAACTTTTTATCTTTCCAACATCCTAACTATAAATTTATTATAGTGATAATTGATGACAGTTAATTCAAACACTTGCTAAATATTCTTTGTGGCATATGTCTAAATATTGTACATATGTGTCTTGTGGATGGTGTCCATGTACATAGATTTGTTGTATATAGTGGAGATCGATATATTTTAAAGGGGGGTGGTGGAAATTTATCACACACGGGAAGCAACAAATTGTAGAAGTATTTTAATGTCATATAAGGTGGCCCAGTATTTTGTATATTGTATATGAAACACAAGCCATAGGTGTATAGTATGTTTCTATGGGATGGTGATAATCATATTAGTACATATAGGGACAATGAGTATAAAAACGTTTCTCCCCATTGTTAATGATTACAATCTAGATCCTCATTGGGTGCCACTAGAATTGTTTAGGATTTCCAACCTTAAATGGGGTAAATCTAGAGGATTAGACTGATTTTTTACTTTATATTTTTATTTAAAAATAACAACTTATAATAATCACAATGATCATTTTTTTCTTGGTCGTCTTGAACCTTTGATGATATTTAAATTCTCAGGACTGACCTTACCAAGTACATCATAAATCCACCATCCAATAACACATATGAAAAACCTACAAATTTTTAAAAGCAAAGAAGATCTTAAATTATCTCGAACTGAAAAATATTTAAGAGGGTTTTCATATCAAAATGAAAGGATTTAAAAGAAAAAGATCCCATGTAGCATGTGTTGTTAGAAACTATATATGAAGGACACATCAAACCTACCCTAGTTCTTGGTGTTGGTGTTTTCCCTATTGGAATTTTTTTATGAAGACACTCGCTCAAGAACGCAACTGCACCCCAATCATCACCAAGGCAACAAAAAAAGGTCTCGATACATATTAAGGGCGTGTTCGGCAAAATTAGCTGGTAGCGGGTGGCTTGTAGTGGGTAGATTGTAGCTTGTAGCGTTTTGTTAAACGCTACATGAAGTAACATTTGGATTTGTAGCGTTTTGTTTAAACTAAACGCTAAAAGCTTGTAGTGCCGGACGAGACTTTCTGTTCAAAATAAAACGTTTTATCAAACGTTAGCAGTTAAAAACTCTCAAACGTTTCGTGTCGAAGACGCCCTAAATAGGTTATGTTTAATAACCTCGGCATAATATATCCAAGAAGTGAAATCATCGTGGATTTCAATTTAATTAAAGTAAAAGGTTGACATTTCCTACAAAAAAATTTTGACGGGCTAAATGTATTAAAACATTTAAGGGAGATCCAAATCATTCTTCCGTTATATTGTCACAATTTTAAAAAGGTAAATATCACCATGATGAAATATTGTTAATGGAAGCAAACTATAATTTGAGTACATCTTTGTCACAATTGGTTATACAACATGCTTCATTTTCATTACCATGTGCTTACGAATATTTTTAGAATAATATGTGTGTAACACTCATGATTTGCGCCAGAGCTTTTACCTTATTAGATTAATTATTATTCTAATACAAAACAGTAAAATGGTCTTTGTGATTAGTTAAAAATTATTACTTTAATCCAAAAAAATTTAAACTAGTACCAGAGGTCCAAACTTTTCGTTGCAACTTGGTCCAAACTTTTTATTTGGTGGAAAAAAAGGAAAGTAAATATTATCTTTATTTAAATTCACTATTTAACTAAGCATCTCATAACCTACAACCGATTTCTTGATTACCATCTCCATTTGTTCATACTTTTCCTATAGTTTTTTCTACATCTCTTTTTCTAAAATTGTCGGCCAAACATCACATATACCAAATAAAAGATGAAGTAGTGATTTACGTAGTCAAGCTTTACATATTTAAGTAGCATAACAGGTAACAATATCTTTATAACAGATTACATCTATGAATATGTTGATACATAATTTACTCTGTCCATTTCTTTAACATGTCGATTTCTTGATAAATCAGTCACTTTTAGTTAATTTTATCCATTTTTTAAAAGCTATTCCCTTGAAATTCATTCTTCCCAGCCTGCCCCTGGATGCACGGGATAGAAGACAAGGTATTGTAACATTCTCATAAATCTGATTACTTTTAGTCACCATGGTTATGCTTAAATCACTAACTTTCATGTTTTGGAAGTCTATTTTAATTACCTTGAAGATAGAATCATGAAATATTCAAAAGCTATTGTTCCATCTCAGCTTTACTACCGATCCATCGGTTGCTTCCCAAGTAAGTCTTATCTCTATTTTATTAGACTTATTGATTTCCTTTTTTTATCATCTTTGAATAGCTTCTACAACCAAATTTATGTCTCTTGATTCCTATCAGAAAAGTATATTTGCGAAACACCGTGTTTCTATTGGCATGGGGCTATAATAATTTGATACAATCCTTGCATTAGAGTTATTCGACCTTTTGCATCGATTTTTATTGTAATTTAAAATTGACTAAACAACTTTAATCGTCCCTGCGGTTATGCAAAAAGAATACAGACTTCGCTCTCATCTTTAATTTTTAACCTCTTCATTAATCTTCACAATTCTCTTTAATAATCATTGGAGGTACCTTGCTACCTTTCGCATTTACCATATTAATTATGAAAATTATTTTACAATAATCATCCAATTGTTTTAGCTAGTTTCTTTTTATAACACCCATGACTTGAGGTAATAATAATTATTTAATAACTTTGTAATTAATTGTTGGGCTATGAGATAAATAATGGATTATGGAGTGAGCTTTAACAAGTGGGCCGATAGGATTTGGGCTGCCCGAAGACGCACACTGGATGTAAGCTTGGCGTACGCGGGGCATAGTGCAACATTGGATGCGGGGGGGGGGGGGGGGGGGGGGGGGGTGGGCGGAGGTGTGTACGCACAACGTACGCAAACAAACTCAAAACCCTAATTTTTAGGATTTAAGCCATATAAATACAACATTATGACTCAAACCCTAGCCTCCTTACCAGCCTCTCTGTAACACCGTAGATTTTCAAACAAATTTTCTCATTTTAAAACACAATAAAACACATGTCACATTCTTTCGAAAAATCAAAAGTATCAATTTATCAACACATTTTTAAAAGTTGTTTATTGCAAACCCAGGATCCTCAAATATAACTCTTTTCTCTTGTGTGTACAATCAAATCGGCGCCTTCCTACGATCCTGATAAGAACCTGTTCTTGTGATGATTCAGGTGTTGGAACTTGGGTTGAGAAGTCGAGGTTGAGGAGTACGATGATTTATTGTTTCAGTCTAAGAGTCAGTGATATTACTGGACAATCGAGATGTTCGGTATTAGGATGGTATGAGACTTTGAACAACTAGAATCAGTCGTGATGAGAAGTTCCTAAGGATTTCTTTTGAGATTCAGGGTATTTGAGGTTGCTTGATCTCTTTAAAGGAGATTATCAGGCGTTGCGTAGCACCTTCCAAGGGCAGGTGCGATATTGCTAGTGGAAACATTCTGTGGGATGGTGTGTGCGTCAATTGGAGATGGTTCGAACCCTAAGTAGGGGAGAACCGGGTATTTTATTGAGGGAACCAGAGATT